GGGGGGGGGGGGGTGATTGTTTAAAATGTTCCAATCCGGGCTCGTTTATTTTACTTTTGGCAAACAGGCAAAATGGCAGACAATGAAAATAAGGAACCATGAAAAAGAAAAGAGAAGAATTTGGAATCTATGAAGGTCAAATACAGCAGCTAAAAGAAATTCAATTAATCACCAGCAAATAAACTAGGATTTCACACCAACCCAACCAATTGCTTTTAGGCTGACGGTTTTCCTTCAGTATTCGTACCCCACTCTTCGTCAGCCTCGTTTCCATTAACGAGTACTGCACCATCAGTAGAGTCAGCATCCACCACAACAGCCTCTTCTTGGCCCTCTTGTTGAATGTCATCTTCACCCGGTTCTTGCAACTCATCACCATTCTGTTCTGCAACCTGACCGGTTAAAGCAAGGGAAGCAATCACTTAACTGATTAGCTTTGACCAACAACGACAGGTTTAAGATAAAGTATAAAGAAATCGAGCTATTAAACTTTTTTTTTTAAAACGGAACGAATTATGAACTTCACATAAACCTATCTGGGTAAAAGCAAATGGCTTTCTTATTTTATGAAAATGATCACATGTACAGAAAACAATTCTCAGAAGAAAAATTAGAAGCATGTCCATCTTATACCTCATGATCCAACTCTCCATTTTCAAGTGGTTCTTCATCCACTCTCATGTTGCTGAAAGCTTCTACGAGGTTAGTAGTTGGTCTACCAGCATAATTTCCATAATCTGCCGCTGGCGGGTATACACCCCTACATAAATAAGGAAAGCAACCAAATTGGTGCCAAATTTTCCCAGTGAACTTGTCTGTTGATGTAAAAGTTTCCTTTCAACAGACCATACATATTGGAATTAGAACACATCTTTTTGAGCTCATACTCCAAGCAAGAAAGAAAACGAACAACAAATTGAGCAAAAGGTGTGACACTTGAAAAAAACAGGGAGAAGCATAAGCAAAAGCATTAATATTTTGAGAAGGCCGCTGGCAGTTAGCGAAGAGAACATAACAAGATGCATGGGGGAAAGAGCAGTATATGATACCTTTCCTCCGCAACTCTAGCTTCAACAGAATGGGTTATTTGCCAGTGCTCAAACAAGTTAGGATATTCTTCAGGATCAGCCAATGCTTCTGCAGCTTTCTGGTTAACCTGCATGCAGAAATTATGCAAAACAAGGTCAAAGATTTTGTGCTATACAGATGTTCAAAATTGTTGTACAAACAGCATGAAGTCCAAACAGTAAACATGACATTTTCATTAACTACCAACATTTACCATTTTCAAACTTAAGGTCAAATACTTTGGTTAAAGTAGTCTGCATCTGGCAGGGGGGTGTGCATCAGGCCATATTGGTTCCATAACTTAGGAAGAAAAATGCTTGTGGCACGATCATATGTAAAAGAGAAAGCACAGTAGTGAAAGAAAAAAATAAAACGGTACTAACTGCTACGCCTGGATTTGTTTGACACCTCGCTATCACAGGCATAAATAAGCCTCATTAAAGAGTACAGAGGTCTGAAGTTTCTTTGCACCATTAACTTAATGGTCAAGAAGCTTCTACCCGGCAACATTAAAGCTGAACATCCAAGTGACCGCTAACCTAGAGAATAAGCCAGCTCTGGAAAAACTTTCCATAGAGCACAAAGTACACAGAACAGCAAACACAAAAAGGAAGATCACTAACCTTACTGAGGTCCTTTCTCCAAATTGATACTATTTCAGAAACTTTACTAGGCAGATAAGATCGTGCCATAAATGCAGCCTCGGGTACCCGATTGCTGCAAAGAAAATGTCACATGGATATCATCACAATAAGAAAAATACATATATGTAGTAAGATTATGAAAAAATATACCTGTCAACCAACAGCTGAATGCACTCGTCCACTTTACCCAACAGGAACATGCAAAGGAATGCAACATTGTTTTTCCCGTGCTCTTTTGCAAAAGAAGCTAGTTCAGTTATTCCTTCAGCATCTCCTAGAGAAGAATAGAGTAGCAACAAACCACTCAAGTCATTTGCATGCTTCAAACACTCCTCTGCCATCTCAAGCTGCAAAACATAGTAAAACAGCAGCAGTTATGAAAAAGTCTTGAAAAGTAAATAAGCACATGCAATTCGCAAAAGTAGTCTTCTTTTTAGATGAAGTGACTTCAATTTTGCAAAAGTAACATTACTAGAATGCTGCAAAAACCAACTCCAAAGCACCCTCTGCTGCTTCACTACAAACAGAACAATAATGACAACTCTATTCCAGGCTAGTTGAGTACTTGAGTTAGCTATACGATCCCTAAAGCCATTTTGCTCCACTCGGTCATTCAAATATTCTATTGACATATAAATATCTAAACGGACTAAAAACACTCCTAGTTATACAAGTTCTCTAAATCAATTTCGCTCCACTCAAACCGTGTTTCATTCAAATACTCAATAATTTGGGGTTTTCTAACATTTCTATTGACATATAAATCTCTAAACATGCTAAAAACACTCCTAGCAAACACTACTTGGCTACAAACAGAACATGAGGGAAAACTTTAATATATAACAGGACAACAAACAGAGTAGTCAAGTATTTATCCTATATAGAGTGATATACTTGCTCCTTCCTTCAACCAAGAGAAAGAGAAGTGTTAATTGCGTAGCAATCACAATAGCCGGTGCGTCATCCTTAAGAGTCCTAAGTAAAAATTTCTCCAGCAACATAAAAGGATATGAATCAACGGTTTTCTGCAAACAAACTTTTTGGATACCAAAATTCACTTGAAAGTTAAAGGAAGAAGCTTAACATTTAACTTTTACATGTTTCTCTTTGAAAATTCAGTAAGTTTCCATTTCCACTTGTCATAATTCCTTCACAAAAAGAATTGGCCTAAGTGGCAATAAGTAACAGTTACCCTTCCACTAGACATGGCTAGGTCACCCAACTGCTTCCATTTGGACTCACTCTGTGCCACTACGGCAATTTCCTGCATACATAGAAAGGACCAAAACTTTTAACAACACATAGTTCTTTTTCCGCAGTGATAAGTCTAAAAGAAGAGGTGCTGCAAAGATAAACCACATTTCACTAGTTATTAGTCTCACCTTTGCAATATCTAATTTACCCAGCTGTATGGCTAGTTCAAATCTGTAGTCAGGGTCT